AGTGCTACTCAGGTGAATGAAGCTTTTATATTTTCCTATGATTTACTCGTGTTTAAGGGTTTCTATTCGCAAGTGAAAAGAAACAAAATATCATATGTCACACTTTTAGTTTGTCTAACCGAACTTATTGGATTGTTAGGCTCAGCCAGCACAGACAGTAGCTACACCTCAGGTTTCTGCTCCTACTGTCTCAGTGTGAGTTTCAGGCCTTCCTCTTACATTAGATTTATCTCAATTGGGAAGAGAAATTGTCAGCCTCTTCTGTATATTCTGTTTTGCTAATTTGCTCTACTTTTGCTTGCGTTTTGCAGTCCTCAGCCTACAAGTGGAACTGCAACTGATGCAGCTCCAGCTGCTGCTACTTCGTAAGCACTTTTCAGAACTGCAATATATTCGTTTACGAATTTCCCTCTTACATTGATTGATAGTCAACTATCTTCTGTTTTTTTTTTTGTTGTTGAAACAGGGCTCAGACAGATGTGTATGGTCAAGCAGCATCAAACCTTGTTGCTGGAACTACTCTAGAATCCACTGTTCAGCAAATTCTTGACATGGGTGGAGGTAGTTGGGACCGTGACACTGTTATTCAAGCCCTAAGAGCTGCCTTCAACAACCCTGAAAGAGCTGTTGAATATCTGTACTCGGTATGTTTCATTCGACTTCTTGATTCTAGTTTCTTCTTTGTTATTTTGTATTTACCTTTGGCTTGGCAGAGCTCTAGCAACCTTTGCTCTATTGAAATTTTGTTTGATACATTTCAGGGAATCCCTGCTCAAGCTGAAATCCCGCCTGTCGCTCAAGCCCCATCTACTGGCGGACAGGCAGCAAATACCCAAGCACAGCCCCAACAAGAAGCTGCTGCAGTGCCTGCAACTGGTGGTCCAAATGCGAATCCGTTAAACCTGTTTCCCCAGGTAGGGTTTTTAATTCTTAAAAGTCAATTTTCTTCCCTTGCGTCTTGATTTGCTGTATGACATCCGCTCTTATGTCTTCTTCACCCAGGGCATGCCTGCTGCAGATGCTGGTGCTGGAGCGGGTAATCTTGATTTCCTGCGTAACAGTCAACAGGTATATTCAAATTCTTCTCTATTCCAGAAAATAAAATCTTCAATTCTTTCCCCTTATGATATTTGCAATTCGTTTGCCTTTTCTTAGTTCCAAGCCTTGCGAGCTATGGTACAAGCAAACCCACAAATTCTACAGGTACAGACTTATTCACTTCTTATTCATTTCTTGGTGGGTGGATATCACATAATCATTTTGCCACTTGTAATGTTTCGTTCTGCAGCCTATGCTTCAAGAGCTCGGTAAACAAAACCCGCAGCTTGTGCGATTAATCCAAGAGCACCAGGCTGACTTCCTACGCTTGATAAATGAGCCTGTCGAGGGAGAAGAGTGAGTTTATATAATGATTCTCCTATACATTTTCATTTATTCTTTTGTCCAACAATACCTGCAAGCTGATATTTCATTTCCTCATCAATACCACCAGGAATGTGATTGAACAGTTGGAAGCAGCAATGCCACAAGCTGTAACCGTCACACCAGAAGAGCGTGAAGCCATTGAACGGGTTTGTTCCCTCTTTGCTTTGCATTAGTACTTGTTGGTTGGAGTGTTGGAGGAGGATCTTCATGTTTTAGTAATTTTGGGTTCAAATTTTTCTGTCTTGTATTGAAATATGCTTTTGTTATTGTTGTCTAAATGCAGCTTGAAGCTATGGGGTTTGATCGTGCGATGGTCTTAGAGGTGTTCTTTGCGTGCAACAAGGATGAAGAACTTGCAGCTAACTATCTTCTGGATCACATGCACGAGTTTGAGGACCAATAATGAAAGAAGAAGAAACAGAACAAATCCATTTCTCCTCCATCCTAAACTCAAGAGACCCGTCTTCCTG